TTTCCATCTCTTTAGTAGTGCTATTATTTATTCTATTCTCCTGTAATTTGGAAAAAATAAAACTTATTCCCTGTAATATCAGTAGACAAAGAAAATAAGAGCATGAAGAATTGGCACTGAAAGCTGTAATTTAGGGCCAGTTGCTGTCCTTGGATTGCTGTAGGTGTATTTGGGAAGGTGTACTTGGCCCTGAATAATGATCTGAAACTAAAACCAGAAAAAGATAAAATTAGGACATGTTTCCTCCTTTGGAGAAGCAAGAATTTCCAGATTCTGCCACTCCACATTTTATTCCTGTCGCACTGTCAGCTCCATCCTTACCTACAAGCCCAGCAAAACAGAACAAGCCCTTAACAGAATTTCCAGACATGTTGCACAGTCTGCCTTCAGAAATGGCCTCAACAAATCCACCTCTGACCAGCCACACAGTGAAGACTGGAACAGAGACAGTGTTCTAGTTAAGTTAGTAATTTTCTATGATGAGGTTCACTGTGAATGGGTACAATATCTTGAAGACTTACTAGAAAGGACTGATCCAGACCAAGGACAACTGAGTTGTAGTGTGTCACTGGGGAAAAAATTGAAGTGGCATAGATTTAGGACCCAAGGACTGTGTTACTTTCTTCCCTATTCATTAGAATACTAATAAATTTTAGCTAACCTATATCCACTCACTACTGGCCAAGCTCTGTGTTGCTTTACTTGTAATAATTTATCCTTTACAATGAACCCATGAGATACATACCATCCAGTATTATCTCCACTAGCTTGAAGGCAATTGAACAAAATTTCTAGATGACTCTAAAAGAGCTTGAAAGAATCTAACCAGAGAACAGCTGTAGATGCAGGGAGTTGTCTAAGAAAACACAACCACGGAATCCTGAAGCAGGAAAGGGGTCAGGAAGGAGAACTGACCAATAGTAAGAACTTACTCCATCTCAGGCCCCTGCATATCCGGTCTCTTTGTTTGCAAGAACCCAAGAAATATTTATCAACATTCTACAGATGAAGAAACTCACCACAGAGGTCCTAAGCATGTTGCCCATGATCTCAAAATCAGTTTGTGAGATCTGAATCAAAGTTTGTGTGATTCTGCTTCACCAAATATCTGAAGTTGAGATGTATAGCAACCATAATTCAACATCTCTTTTTTTTTAATCCTATTTTGGGCAAAGAGCCAAGATTTGGCTGGCAAAAAGTCAAAGAATCATGGAGCCACACATACATACTCATATTTAGTATGAACCATACAGATCTGGCTAATAAGTATCTCAGTCTGGACCTTATACTCAACTTTCTGAGCAACCAGATAACCTGCTGAATTGATCCTGCTCTGGTTCAGTTGGACCAAATGGAACATTTTGAGAGTTCAGATGGGCACTCACTGTCTCACAGAGTTGGAAACAAAATTAAAGTATCAGTTCCAGAAAGTCTATTCCATGATGACAATACAGCCTTGCCATTAGGAGTCCAAACCTTATTCCTACCCCATGGTAACCCTTTTGTGGAAGTGTCCTGCTTCTCTCCTCCCTTCACCATTGCTGTGACCTACTAAGCCATGTTGGCACCAGTTTACAATGTGCCAACACTGCTTTCCCAGGTGGCATTATAAATAGCTGTGGGAAAAACAAGCAGATGTTTTTCATCACATGATTTGGAGAAATCATGGCTCCTAACTTTAGGAAGAAGGTGTGTGTTTGTGTGTGTGTGTGTGTGTGTGTGTGTGTGTGTGTGCGCGCACATGCACTCATGCAAATCCATGCATATGTGTGCCTTTGTCCCTTGAACATCTGCTATCTTTTTCTTTTTTTTTGAACTGGGGATAAAACTTGGAACCTTGCACTTGTGAGGCAAGCAGCAGCATCACTGAGCTAAATCCCCAGCCCCTACTTCTGCTATCTTTTAACAGTCCTCAGGATTCATTTAGCAGATGGTACGTCAGGAGCCTGGTAGAGCCTAACCTCCCACATTAGATGTTTATGGAGCTACTGATCAAGGGTAGAAATAAGAACAAAACAAACGACTCAGAAAACTATAGTGCCCTTTTTATTTGAAATATCAAGTAAGAACATTTATTTGTAGTTCTTTATAGTTGATAAAATACTTTTACATCCACCACCACACCTGACCTTAACAGCCTCTCAATGTATATATTTATTCAATTTTATACATAAGGCTCAAAGGCCAAAAGTCACACAGTGGCTTGGTGAAAAAGAGAGTCTCCTCACACCGTGACTGTCTCACTTCAAGTTTCAAACTCTTTTACTACACCCCCTCACTGTCTACTCCTGTCCTTTCATGAGACACAAGAATAATGAAAGAGATGTGCGGTCATTCTAGATAGGACTTTTCATCCTCCAAATCTTTCAATACACCTAAAACGTAAAATTAGATGGCATTCTTTCCATGTAGAGACCTTTTTTTTTTTTACTTTCAAACTTGTTTTTTAAATACTAATAAGGACACCTGTAATAAAACATATCCATAGAAGCAGAACAGTAAATATGAAGAGGCACATTCATTAAAAGTTTTAGGAATGTCATCGCTTCCCAGTCAGAGCACAGCAGGAAATTAAATGTTGTGGATGAAAAGCTTTAAAACAACTCTTTCTAATGCAAGAAGCTATACTGTGGTGCTTATATGTGAAAAGAAGTAAATAGAGTACAGATATGTAAAAGACTTTGTCTGTACAGTACTTGTGGTTTTATATGTATATTTTATACTTATATATGTATATTTCTCAGTGCATATAATAAAGAAATATGAAGAAAGGAATCTGTAAGTGAGCTGGATATGATAGAACTTTTGTAAACAATCTAAAAATCTACAAAATGTTAGGAAAGTATAAAATGGGTTTTGCTGTCTCTTAACAGCAATCCGCTTTGTTTAGTTCAAACTTAACAGACGCTGGAGGCACTGACCATGAAAGGGGACACCTGGCCTCATCCTTAACCTTGAACACCCCCTTCCTGTGCACTTGCATAGAGAGCTAGTGGAATCTTAAAGTAAACTCCCTAACTACAAGGAATTGTTATGTCTGGGTTAAAGTTAACTGTCTTGTTAGTGTAATTTGTATCTGAGTAATGTGAACTGAGGAAATGAAATGTAACCACCTGAAAGAGATCATAGCTGTAAAACCTATAAAAGAGGAAGATGCAACCCAATAGGAGGTGGACACCCAGCACTGCCTTTTTTAATGTGATTGATCCTTTTCTGACAAAATAAACCTTTTATTTTACTTCCATTCAGCTCGTCTCTATGTGCATGTCACTTGTCAATTCCTCCCTACAACAGATAGAGCCCCAAAATTTAGTAAACCATCCTAAGAAGGGAAAAAGAATCGATATGAGGACCAGATACTCAATAACCAAATGAAAATAGGGTGTATTAGGATCCTATAGGACAATGGATTAAACACCAGTCTCAGAAAAGGCTGGCTCCAAAGACTCAGAAGACCCCCCAATCTCAATGCTAATGAAGCTTAATGAAGTGATAATAAACTGAGGCAGTACATCTGGTGGCCATAGCCTGATGGGATATAGCACCAAGAGGGATACGCTGCAGGTGCTGTCAAAAGTAGTAAGGGGACTTAGGGAAGGAGAAGTCAATATGACTGGATTCTACAGAAACAGGTTTGTATTGTATCATTGAACCATGTCCAGGCTCTAGTTGAGTTAGTGTCTATGAAAACATGGGCTCCCTGGAGGCAGTAATTAGCAACCCTTTTTTGTTTTGAGGGCTCAAACATATTTTAAGGAACTATATGAAATAACACAAATGATCAGTTGGTCAAATCAGACTAAGCATGAACCAGAGGTATTACCAAGTATCAAAACTTACTAATAATTTCAAAATATAGATAATCACAAGACACTGACAAAGCAAGGGGAAGCCTGTAATCTCTAAAGCTGTCTAGTAAAATTTCCTTTCTCACTAGACCACATTTCAAGCCCAGATTAACCTATGTCTCTTCCCAACATGTGCAATTCATGTCAATTACAGAGCATATCATCTTTTGCTCAGATAGTGACATAGTTTATCTGCTACTTTCCAAGGTGCCAAAGTCCATAAATCTATAAATCCAGATTTGTTTATGATAAAAATCCTAGAATTCTGCTAAAAGCAATCTATAGATAAGAACTAAGTGTATAGTTAAGAAGTCTGTGATTAGCACACTTACCAGAAGATTTGAACAGGTCTCTTACCCTCTTTCTTTTCCAGGAATACTGCCCTCATTAAGAGACAGATTGAATTGCAAGCCTCTTTCTGCTCTTTCCTTTGTAACGATGGCTATGAGTGTGAATGGCCTTTTAAATAGATCTTAAATTAGTTCTGGTAATTTGTTGCCTTAAATCATGTCTCTTCTTGTGTTCTTATTCTGGACAAGATTAGAGTTAGAGGTGAGGGTCAACTTAAGCAACCATTCATTATGTAAATTGTTCTTTTCCCTCAGTAACCATAATTTTGTTTGCATAACACTCTCACTCTGCAGAGCATTTCCACTTGCATTATTTTAAACAATATGCAAATTAACCCTGGAAGGCAGGGTTGGTGGTTTTATTTATTTATTTATTTATTTTTGTGCCCGGGATTGAACTCAGGACCTTGTGCTTGCTAGGCAGGCGGCAGAACCACTGAGCTAAATTCCTGGCCCCAGGTGTTGGTTTTTAAAATGAGGAAACTAAGGCTGGAAATTTAGCTCAGTGGCACTGTGCCTGCCTGGCAAGTACAAGGTCCTGAGTTTGAATCCTGGTACCAATTAATTAATTAATTAAAAAATAAAATAAAAAGTTAAAATGAGGAAACTAAGATGTATCAGCTAACAAGTGGTGAACTGGGATTCAAATTCAGATCTGTTTGACCTCTAAGTCCATGTTCTGTTTACTGAACAACACTACAGTTGCTTTCCAAAATAGAAAGATTGTTTGACCTTGGCATGAAGGAAAATAGCAATCTCCACATTCCTCTTACACTCAGAGGTTTTTTTTTCCAAGCTCTATTTGCAGTTTTTCTGACTTTATCATAGATGTGGAAGTGCTAAGTGTGCTATGATGGAGGACAATTTTGCCGTCATGAATTATTTTCTGAAGAATATCCTCATGGGAAACTCGATGGGGTACCCCCACAGCCTTCAACTACCTACCTCCTGGCAGGCACACCACTGGTGAGTGGAATTTTATAACCTTTTCTTCTCAGGCCTCTCTTCATCCTCCTTAACAGATGTTCATGATTGGCTTCTGCAAGATAAATGAGAAAAGGGAAAATAAGAGAAATAAGTGGAAAATTGTCCTCATAACACAGTAAATCTGTATATTTAAAAGGCAGGGGGAGGGCAGGGATAATGGGAAAAAATGAGAACCAAGACCTGTCATGTAAAGGTACAAGATCCCAATGATGAATGTAACTGTACTGTATCCCTAAAATGTACCAAAAAACTCAGAAAGTAAATAAATAAAAGGCAGGAAGATGATTGTATATAGGAAAGACAACATGAACCATATTATCTCTATTGTCCTCATGGTCTAGAGTTAGGTTTTCCTGGCTCCCAATCCCAGCATAATTGCTTTACTCCACAACAGGGCCTCTTTGACCCCCTTCATTGCCAGGTTATCCTGGAGACCAGTCAGTTCTGAGCTGGGAGGTTATCCACAGCTCTTGCCTAAACTTGCTACCTGCATTTTAAAGAAGTTCTGATGTCGAACTCTGCTCAAGCTATAGAACTTCTGTCTTCTAAATCAAGCGACAATCTCATGAGTTCATCTGGTTAACTGACCCTCCACTCTTTTGCTTACCTATGATCCTATGATCCTGATTTTTCTTTTTTTTCTTTTTTTGGTAGGAAAATGGATTGAGAGAAAGAAAGCTTCTGTCTAAGAGAGACAGAAGGGGGACCAGAAAGTGGGTTGCCCTCTCACTCAACTTCTCAAAAAAGTTTTATGGGATAAAGCCATGAAGTGAGGTGGTTTCAAGATGGGACAAAACTATAAGACCCATTTGAAAGTTACAAGGTGGGCATGAAGTGGGACAAAACCATGACCAACCAATAAGATTACAAGTACAGTCACCCAGGTAATATTGATTAAATGGGGAGTCAAATGGGGGAGCAACTCACATAGGAAGCCTATGAGGATTTTCTGTAAGATGGATCAAGGATATTTCCTGGAAAGGCTGAGTTAAGACCTTGGCCCCCCACCCAGATAATTCATATCTATTTAGAATATCAATCACTACTATTCACACTATACTGATCCTGATCTTTTTATGTGATTCATCAACATTTTACTCTTTTCAGGTAGATAATAACTAAAGTCTGGGTCTTATATTCATGTCTGGACACAATTTTTTGAAAGCGTCCCTGGAAATGTTGACTGTATTAGGCTAGATCACCATAGCCATCTGTTTTAATATTATGTCTTACTCATCTGTTGGGAAGGATATCTCTGTTATTTCTTGGTAAAACCTACCTCTTACACCACCCAGTATCTTCACATTATCTAGTGTGTGCTGCTCTATTATTTGTTTCCCAGTTGCACCTTTTTCCAGCTTCCATAATTAATCCTGTTTCAAAAACTGCCAGTTCATCCCACTAGGCAGCTAATTCCAGCTGTGGCCCCATCCTAAGTAACTTACTTCGCTGTTTGGTCCAAACATATCTGGGGCCAGGGATTTAGCTCAGTGGTTCGGTGGCCTGCCTTGCCAGCACAAGGACCCAAGTTCAATCCCCGGTACCAAAAACAAACAAACAAACAAACAAAAAACATATCTAGCTGTGTAGAAACACCCAACTTCCTTTGCCATTAAGGAAGTATTTGTTAATCAAGAGTTTAGAAATCTTATTTCAGGGTGCTCATAATACTCCATGGACCTGATTTTATGAACTTCCTTGCCCTTTACTTGTATGATACTCTCTTTATTTGCATCTGCCTTTGAAAACAAATCTCATGACACCACTAGGTATAACTGAAGATGTGGCAGTTTTACAAAACTGAAGTTGAGGAACTCTTCTTGAAGTCAATTTTAAGGTAGGCAAAAAAAAAAGTCATAATATCTTTTCCTGGCCCATAATATCCTAATCAGCAGCTCCCAGTCATATCATATGCCCAAATGCATTCTGACTTCTTTATCAGACAGGAGGTGAAGAGAAATCAATATGTCATCAAGAATATGTTCTGAGGGGCTGAGAGAAGAACACAAATCATCTATAGTATCTGTCGGCAGCAAGATGAAATCACATTACAGAATGCAGAAGACAGTGATAACTTTCTGAACTCCTGATTCACTTTCTTCATCTTTTCTCTGGGAAATATTCAGAAAATGCTAACAAACATCTAAGGTTCACAAGAAGTCCTTTCGATAGATAATTCAATGACTACAGCAATTGTAGACACAATTGTTAACTTATACACTATGGGGGAAAGCACAGTTTTCCAATCACTCACATACTTTTGCTGTTGAAATACATTTTGGACTTTCAGTGTGAAGAAAACTTTTGTAGTACGAATCAAAAAAGCTGTAAAAAGTTTAAATCTTTTAGACTCTTTTAAGAATCTATCTACTTGTGACTATTTTGTGTCTGTGGTGCTGAGTATCAAACACAGGGGCTCATGCATGCTATAGGCACTCTGCCACTGGGCTATATCTACAGCCCAAGAATCTATCTAAAAGAATTAGAGATGCAAAGAGTATTTATAGAAAGATCCAAAAATGGAAGGCAAATAGCCATTAAAATTATATTCTAACAATGTAAAAAGGTTTTCAAGACACAATGGTAGTAGGAAAAGTCTGGAACAAGCAGTATAGATATACACAATATTAT